CCTAACTAAATTAAAGGTTATTTTTTGTATGGTTTTATATGTTTCCAGGGGATGAATTTTACCATCGGTGTTGCCAGAAAGTATAAACGATAGATCAATTTGGTGAGGTTACAGTAGTGCCGACATAGTGAAACATGGGTGGCTATGACCGTAGAGTTTTGTTTACTTGATGAGTGGTGAATTTAACACAAGTCCTGTTAGGTTTAGTTAATATTCTTTGTTAATATTTTTTGTAGATTGAAGAGGTAGGCTCTCTCTCTCTCTCTCTCTCTCTCTCTCTCTCTCTCTCTCTCTCTCTCTCTAACACACCTTAAACCCCAGAAGACAATTACTCTGGCACATATCACTTCCTTCACCGCTTGCCACTGAGACCAAATCACGCACCAGTCTTTTGCCAGAGATTCAATTTACTGTAGCGTTTTGTGTTATATTTTGTCCTGTTTTTTGTCCCCTTCCTCCTGTTTCTCTCCGTCTCTTCTCCTAATGTCTCTCACCTTCTCCCTGTTTCTCTTTTTCCTCTCCTCTTCTAACCTTCCCTTTCTCCTCTTCTCTTCTCTCCCTTTCTCTCCTCCTTCTCTTCTCCCTCTTCTTCCTTACCTTTCCCTCTACCTCTTCCTCCCGTTTTTCCTCTTCCCCCATTTTTTGTTCCTCTTCCCTTCTTCCATCCTTTTTCTTCCTCCTCTTCCTCTTTTCCTCCCCTTTATCCTTCCTCTTCTCTCTCTCTCTCTTCTCTTTCTTCCCCTCATGAGTTCATTTATGTATGTATGTATGTATGTATGTATGTATGTATGTATGTATGTATGTATGTATGTATGGATGGATAACATATACATATACTCAACAATATATACAATCACTGTGTATACATAATATGACCCTATTTCCACAACTTATGTATACCGCAATCATACATACACGTGTTTACTCCCCACATACATATATACATACGACACATACAAACTTAAATACACATTACGTATCAAAACTTTCTCATAAAATTTACAGAAATGAGTTAGTTAGTTAATGAGGGAGTGTGGGACAGGTAGGTCCAGTTGTTTAATTACAGGTGTTGATGTTATCTAAATTAATATGTTTTATCTGTGGTGGTGGCTTTTCTTTCTTCTTCTTCTTCTTCTTCTTCTTCGCCGCCTCTTCCTTCGCCTCCTCCTCCTCTTCTTCCTCTTCCTCCTCATTCTTTCTTCTTCTTTCTTCTACTTTCTCCTTTTTCTCTCGACTTTCCACCACAACCATCATCTCTCTCTCTCTCTCTCCTCCTCCTCTTCTCCTCCTCCTCTTCCTTCTCCTTCCCATGTCTTGCTTCATTAATTATAACTTATATCATCGGTAAGATACTGTTATCTGGTGTCCCTTGTGACTGACTAACTGACTGACTGACTGACGGACAGGCATTACAAGGCTGACTATTATTATTATTATTATTATTATTATTATTATTATTATTATTATTATTATTGTTGTTGTTGTTGTTGTTGTTGTTGTTGTTTTTATTGTGTTTTATTATGTAATCTCATGTCACCTAAACCAGTCATGTAATGTTTATCATCCCTTATCGACTACGTCATACCTCTCGGCTCTCCTCGGATCATGTCGGCTCTCATTGTTACGTCATCAATAGATACTCGGGTTTGGTGACGTCATGAATGGATCTAACCAATCGCGTGGCTTGATGAAATAATTATGATAATGGCGTCTTAAATTTTGTTGTCATAGATAGAAAAAAATATTTAAAGATTTTTGAATAAATTTAAGTTAATTTGTCTTTTATAAGGATTGAAAGAGTAATGAAATTGTTGACAGTTACGCGGTTTCTTAAGGTAAATATGTTATTTCAAAAGGCGGGAAAACATGTGAGCATCAGCTTGCGTCTCCTGGGTGAAGGCAAGAACGGCACCTACACTCAGTCTACAACAACAACAACAGCCAGACTGAAGCTACAACAACCAGACTGAGAATATCCATCCATAACAAAGCAATTGACACGGATTAATAGTTATCCAAAAAGCTGATCGACAATAACAAACTTTTGGTGCGCATTTCGTGAGTATTTTGTTGACGTCATTATTGTGTTTATGCGAGAAACTTGAAAGCTGAAGGACTTAAGTTATTTTTCTTTTCTTTTCTTTCTTTCTTTTTCTTTCTTTCTCTCGGGTGTTTAGCTTGAGTTGCCAGATATGTTTTTTATGTTATTCTTGGCAACTAACTTATGGCAACGGTGTCATTTTTCCTCACTCTTCCACTTTTCCTTTTCCTCTCTACCCCCTTCCTTTCTCTTCCCTTCCAACCATCCCTACCCCTTCTCACCCTCCTCTCCCCTTCCCTTCCTTCTTCCTGTCACCCTCTTCCCTCAGACGAACACAATGAAGATATTAACCATACAGCATGGAGTCTTGAAGGGTGCAGAGATGGAGGGAAGGTAGGTGAAAGCTGGCAGGTCTTACTAGCGTCTCGTTAAGTTATCGAGATATATCGCACCTGTTATCGTCTCATCTCATATGATATCACTCTAATAGGTATCGTGTCTTATGATAACATTAACGTAAGATCTATCGTTATTAGTCAACATTCGAGCGATAGGACATATTTAAATGAGTTAGTGTTCGAAGGTCCATTTTCTTCCGTTTATGATACCGCGAGATGTTGGTTTTCTATGATGGCTGACCAACGGCGAATTAATTCTTTATCGAGTGATTTAAGTTATCCTCAATAACTGAATGATGTGACTCAACCCGGATATATTGTGAACCTTTTATATATATATATATATATATATATATATATATATATATATATATATATATATATATATATATATATATATATATATTTACATTTGGCAAAAAAAAGATTTACCTTGAAATTTAATAATAATAAAAAAAATTGAGTTATGTGAGGATATATGAATCTTGACAGCAGAAAAATATTGTGTTGAATGACAGACAGGAGAGAGGACGTAAGGAAGGGGGGGGAGAAGAATACAAGCATGAGAGGAAGGAGAATATTCATGGATAAGTTGAGGGGGAGGAAAGGGGGAGTATAAAGGAGGTGAGGGGGAGGAGAGAGGCTACCTGTTGCACCAGCTGTAAGAGAGTACCTAGGCTGGGGGGGGTGGAGGCAAGAGGGGGAGTGAGGGACGGGGGAGGAGGTTACCTGCCTGCTGCCACCTGCTGCTCCTCTCTTACCTGACTCATGTTGATAATGTTGACTAACACGCTAGATGTAGTGTGTGTGTGTGTGTGTGTGTGTGTGTGTGTGTGTGTGTGTGTGTGTGTGTGTGTGTGTGTGTGTGTGTGGCCCTGTATGGTGCAGGAGAGATTTACTGGAAGAGCTTTTAAGATCAAACTGGCCAAAGCGTACATGATAAAGACGTCCTCCTCCTCTTCTCTTCTTCCTCCTCCTCCTCTTCTCTTCCCCCTCCTCCTTTTTCTCTTTCTTTCTTTCTCCTCCTATTCCCTGTCCTCCTCCTCCTCCTCTGTATACCGTACCACACCCTCACCCTCTCCTACTCATTCAGCATCGCCAAACTTCTTCTTCTCATCGACCCAACCCGAGTCTTTTCTCATCAGCAAATAGCTTGGCCACAAAAATGGTGAATCTATCGTAGGAATATAATATAGACAAAGACAACAAGCTTGTATTCTTCCGCCAAGTGTCCAGAACTGATGCTAACGAGTGTGACTGTGTACAAGAATGCCAACGTCATCCTTTGCCTGATGCAAATGTTATGGTGGTATTGTGTTACGGTGGAGGTGACGTCACAGTTTGGTTGGAGACGTCACAGTGTGGTGGAGACGTCACATTGTGGCGGCAGCGTCAGGTGGTGGCGGCGTGGCGGGCAGCGTGGCCAGAGTGTAGGACAGTGGCGCCGCAGCCAGGTAGCCAACAGGTTAGTTTATCTCTAGACAGCGTCGAGCACAGTACGCCGCGCCCCGCCAGGCCCCGTTAGACACTCCACGCCCTGCCAGGCCCAGCGAGACAACCCACGCCCCGCCGGGCCCCGCAATACACCCCAGCCCCCGCGAGACACCCCAGTCCCCGCGAGACACCCCAGTCCCCAGGAGACACCCACGCCCCGCCAGACCCCCCGAGACACTACCCTTCGCCTGGCCCCGCGAGACACTACCCTTCGCCAGGCCCCGCGAGACACTATCATCTGCTACGCCTAAAGTACATTCTCGAAAGCTTGATAAATAATGTGACTCACACTCCACGCCTACCACGCCTCTAGGTCGTTCTTAGCCACGCCCCTAGTTAACCCGACACCTTCTAGCCACGCTCCCGGGTACCCTAACAGCTAGACACGCCCCCAGGTCCCACACGTCACCACCTTTTACCATAAAACCCCTTCCCCACTTGGCTGACGTGGTAAAAACCTGCACTAGTGACAGGAAAAGGTGGAGACTATGAGGGAATTTCTTTTTTCACATTCCCGTTTGTGTTGAGTAAGAGAGACGAGACCCAAGACCCAGAACAACCCGCCAGGGGGAGAGAAACTATTACACTTTATCTGTAAGAACGGTGACGGCGATGAAGGAGGCCAAGGGGACGGAAAGGACAAGATTATTGAGTTAGAATGAGCAGGAAGGACATAGGGAGGTAAAGTTGTTAGGGGTTTTGAGGTCAATGTTGGTTAACTTCCTCGTCAGTGGGTCTTTTTGGTGACGATGTTAATTTATCACCTGTAACTCTATTATTAATTGGACCAAGACACGTGTATGGCATGAACAATTGAAAAAGAGATTTATAAATGTTTGAGATAGACTTGATGCGTATTCTCAGCTAATATCGAAACCTCTCTCTCTCTCTTCTCTTTCTCTTCCTCTCAGTCAGTCTCAAGGGCTTGTGTCCGAGACGTTTTTTTCACCACTCAAGCTCTTGTCTCATTCCATGGTGGTCAGGATCCGCGTTTATCCTTCCCACTTGCGGCTGATGTTGATGAATGCGGTAGTGTCGTGAGTGTCGTGGCTCCTGCTGGGGTGGCTCCTGCTGGGTGTCGTGGCTCCTGCTGGGTCGTGGCTGTCGCTGGGTGTAGTAAACACTGAGAGCTTGACACATGTGCTCGTAATGTTCCCGGTGTTTTAAATATACTCAAGAGACAATAACTTCCGTGTGGTAGTTATACAAGTGACTGAAGACTTACACATTTGTCCTGTTTTCACTGACGGATATTGTGTATTTGTGTAAGATCTTTGTTGAAGGTTCAGGGCTTAAATTAAATGTTGAACACGTATGATGACTCAGTGAAAACCCAAGTTATTCTCACTGTGATATGGACCACGTGAGTGCCTGACTTATACCCCCCACTCAGTTCTTATCCTCAAGTACCACTCCATTCCACCGCCTCGACTATGGAGGATTCCCCCACTGAGCGTCTGTCGCCTATCTCGGCTTATCTAAAGTTATCACGGGAACCCATACGCCGCCATCACTCCCTTAAGTACATCTTCAACGGGGAGTCGGTAGTTCAGGGATTCCGGCCCGGCTCTCATACCCCGCCCTCTGGCCTCCCTCATCTCTGCGATAGGACCCGTCACCACTCCCTCACCAGGCTGAAGGATCTCACCGCCTCCGTCCTCCCCGCCAGGTCAGTCAGGTACTTTGAAGGAGTGTGAGTTATGTCAGTTCAAATCCCTGGCGAGTGTCATCACCCTCGTCATCGCAGAAGTACACTCGCCTGCACTTATACGTACAGTGACTGGTGCATTTTGTGAGATGTGGCAACTCTGTGTTTGTTTACATCATATTAAACTCCTGAATGGCCCGAAGGAACCTTGTAATAGGAGCCAGACTAAAGCTGCTAGATAAACATTCCTTGACAGAGTTGCCACATCCCACATAACACACCGGCCACTGTACCAGGTGTAAACGCAAGCAACAGTACATACATACGCTTGTAACCTTGTGATGACGTGAATATCTGGCTCCACCATACCTAACACTTGACTCTTTACCATTTCTCTATGCCTTCAGATTATTTCCTCTCGTCTGATAGAATGTCTGTTATGTGTTTTTTATCGTCTGTTGTCCACGTTATAATTTTGTTTTATGAACGATTCTTCTTAAAACACACACACACACACACACACACACACACACACACACACACACACACACACACACACACACACACACACACACACACACACACATCCATCAGGGTTAGTCTTTGATCTTAGAAGCTTATGTGTTTTTGTTATGTACACTTATATAGTTTTTACTACTGCTACTGCTACTACTACTACTACTACTACTACTACTACTACTACTACTACTACTACTACTACTACTACTACTACTACTACTATTACTACTTCTTCTACTACTTCTACTACTACTTCTACTACTACCACAACTACTCCTACATAAGCAACAGACATATTGTATAATCTAACCAAAGCAAACCAATCTTAACATAATAATATATAACCTAACCTAACCTAACCTAACCTAACCAATCTTAATGTATCAATATATAACCTAACCAAACCTAACCAAACTCTAACCTAACCAAACCCTTTAAAAGCCGAAGGAAATATGAACATGAACAGGTAAAAAAAAAAATAATACCAAATAATCACCTGTTTTTCCCCCATGTGCAAAGAATGGAATATTACCTGTATATTACTAATAGGTAAATATCCTGCTCTTTATTGTTGAAACCTTATTATGTTATAGGTAATTATATATTCCCTATGGCAATCAGTGACTCTTAAGGCATTATAAGATTTCTTATTTTATATGCCATCATTATGTACGGACATATTGGGATCTGTTGTTGTCCCTCGTTTACCTGTCTCTCAAGGGGTGTTGTCCACGTGATAACTTGAGTTTATTTTAATCGATTTTCCTCAAACTTTTAGATGATGTTTCGTGTTTGTTAATAAAGGTTCAGTTCAATTTTGGTATCTAGCTTTCGCGGTTTCAATGTTATAGTTGATGAATTTATAAAAGTAGGAATTTAGATTTTGTATTTTTTTGAGGAAAGTGGTGGGGGTATTTTGCTCCTATAGATGAAATAAGTTGATATAGGAACCTTAGCTGATATCTATACGTCCTGTGGTAGTATGATAGTGTTTGGGGGTATTGTAATTCTGTGTATATAGGTAGTGTGGTTTATTACAGAGTATGAGCTATCGTAATGATGCTGTGTATATATGAGTGAGTGTGTTATAGTCTGTGTATATCAGTTTATAACATAGATGAGGCTAATGGAACTAAACACACACTGTTATTATTATTATTATTATTATTATTATTATTATTATTATTATTATTATTATTATTATTATTGGTTCTGGGGAAGCTGTCAATTCAATGGTTGAGTTCAGGTAAACTTTTTGTAAAGATGAAAACTTTATTGGAATAGTTGGTAGTGTGTGGGTAAAGGATATTGGTGTGTGTGTGTGTGTGTGTGTGTGTGTGTGTGTGTGTGTGTGTGGTGATGTGGCCAGTCAGCACCACACTAACACCAGTATCTCATCTACAATCACAATACAACCTTGATATGAAAAAATTATCACATGAGAATTTAATCTGGAAATATGGAGATATAAACTTAATTAAAAGTCTCCCATCCTCCTCAGTCCCCCAGCCCCCTCAACCCCCTCAACCCCCCTCAGTCCCTTTAAGTACCCCCAGCCCCCTCAGTCCCATTCCAGTACTCCCAAGTGACCTTTGACCCCCTGGACTACATGTATAACCAGAGAGATGAACTTTCTTAAGGGTTCAACAGTAGGAATTTAATTTAAGAAGGTGGGTAAGTCTCCATATCTCTTCCCTCTCTTTCCCTCTCCCTCCCTCCCTCCCTCTCTCCCTCTCCCTCTGCGCGTGTCTTCAGGACTACATGAGAGTGGTAAGGGTAATACAGTTGATTAATGAACTCGCCTGGGGAGTAATTGGGATTTTTTGTATTCTTTCATGACTAGACCTGCTTGTTGAGAATTAATTTGGTGTTTGTAACTCTCTGATGAAGGTGAGAGATCATTCTTCACAGAGCTTTCATCTATGTTGACTCTTCGCCCCGTGGTGTCATCTTACTCGAACCTTCACAAGTGGTAGGCTTTCTTGAACTCCCCTTCTAGCCTCCAACCTTTCCCTCCAACCTCCATCTCCAGCCTCCAACCTCCCCTTCAGCCTCCATACCCCCAGTCTCCACCATTACTATCACCTACCACCATCATTATCTACCCCTATCACCTACCACTACTACTACCATCATCATCATCATCACAAACCACCACAACTACCACCACCACCACTACTACCATCACCTATCGGCATCACCTACCACCATCATTATCTACCCCTATCACCTACCACTACTACTACTACCATCATCATCATCATCACAAACCACCACAACTACCACCACCACCACCACTACTACTATCACCTATCATACCACCTACCACCATCATTATCTACCTCTATCACATACCACTACTACCATCACCTATCGCCACCACCTACCACCACTCCCCTCTTTAACACCCTTTCCTCTTCCCTTTCCTCTCTCCATCTTTCCGTCTTAAGTTAGCCTTCATAACCAACCTAATCATAACTTGTCGAACTCGAGATTCGCCAAATTGGCTCTTGGCTCTTTCAGTAATATGTTCACCTCATTAATTCGTTTCCCTCTGACATCTACAATTATGAACCGATCTTTACCAAACTTTCACAGTATATCAGACAAAGTAGCAACTATACACTGATGAACTTTGAACTAATTCGGTCTAAAAATACAGTCAAAGTTTCCGAAAAAGTTTTAAGTGTTATTTCTTTCCGATTTTTTAGGTATCACCCCAGCTTCCATAATTATGATCTGATCTATACGAAATTTGCACAGGTTGTTGAGTAAGTTGTTAGTTAAAAACAGGTCAGGTTTAGTCAAATTAGGTCAAAGGTCAAGGTCAAAGTCACCGAAAATGTTTACCGAGAGTCGAGATTCCTTCCAGTATTGTTTTGGTGATTGACGTTCCATCTTCTATCGTGTTGTTTTCTGTTTCCTGCAATGCATTTATATTCAGTTATTAATTACTTTCTATATTTAGTTTATTTAAATGTGTGTGTGTGTGTGTGTGTGTGCGTCAATCATTCCTACTTCTTAATTAAGCTAGAACCAAAATTTATAAACTACTCATGATGTGAAATTAATGCTACTGATAATATAGGGGGTAAATATGTCTTCCTTCTCCTCCTCCTTCTTGTTCTTCCTCCTTCTCTTCTCTCTCTCCTTCTTCTTCCTCCTCACCCTCCTTCTTCCTCCTTCTTCTTCTTCATCTTCTTCCTTCTCTACCTGACCTTCACTCTATCCCCTTCACAGTCTCAGTCAAGAGTTACAGTCACAAAATTACAGTTACAAATTTAAGAGGTATAATCGACGTTACAGTCACAAAGTTACATTCACGATCAAAATTACAGTTAAAAATACAGTTGCAAATTTTAGGCCCAATTACAAAGTCCCAATTCATGTTACAGTCAGAATCAGCGTTACAGTTTACATAGTTACAGAAGTAAAATTACCCCGGAAGTACAGTCTCTCTCTCTCTCTCTCTCTCTCTCTCTCTCTCTCTCTCTTGATCACAGAGACGGGGATTCCCCACCTGGCACTGAGAGCTAATTAAAAGCTGAACACCTGTTGTTGTGAGGAAACCTACAATTGTTGTTCCTACCTACCTACCTACCTACCTACCTACCTACCTACCTACCTACCTACCTACCTACCTACCCTCTCTCTCTCTCTCAGGTGTACAGGAAGACAGGTGTTGCGTCACAGTGGCTCTTGCAGCTTCTCCAGACAGTGTTTTGTTAACGTCTTAAGAGTAGCGGATGTGACGTCATACATTTCATGACGTCAGTATGAAATAAAGTGAATAATAATAATAATAATAATCAACAAGTCCTTTTGAATCTTCGCTATAAAAGAATTATGGCGTCTTGGTCTTAACCCTACCTAGACAGACAGACAGACAGACAGATATTTCATGTTTTTATTCCTCGCTTCAGTCAATGGGGTTAAGGTTAGGTTAGGTTTTGGCGGTCATAAACGAGATGAGAGAAAATTAATTAAAAGCATAATTTATTGCGTTGGGTAAATAGAGTTTATAGACAGGTGAATTGGGTTCATTAATGGCAGGTGTTTGTTGTGTGATGGTGGTGATTTGATGGGGGGGGTGAAGGTGAGGGGTCGTGTGGTGAGGGAGAGTCGTGGGGTGAAGAGAGGAGAGGTGGGAGGGGAGGGTCGTGGTGAAAGGAGGAGGTCGTGTGGTGAGGAGGTCGTGGGTGAAGAGAGGAGGAGGTCGTGTGAGGTCGTGGGTGAAGGGAGGTCGTGAGGTTGAAGGAGAGGAGGGGGTCGTGGGGTGAAGGAGAGAGGAGGAGGTCGTGGGGGATGAAGGAGGAGGGAGGGTCGTGGGGTGAAGGAGGAGGGGAGGGTCGTGGGGTGAGAGGAGGAGGAGGTCGTGGGGAGAAGGAGGGTCGTGGGGGTGAAGTAAGGGAGACAGGAGAATCATGGGGTGAGTATTCCATAACGAAAGTCGCATACTAAGAATCACATTGTAGTGGAAGGGTCAACCTACCCCTACTTCCCCCATTCCC